TGGCTTGACTGTGAACGCTCAACTCGATCTCTTGTAAATTGTTAGGGTCGCGACCATTAAACTAAGATTAAAGAGGATATTACCTATGAATTCACGTGCTAATAAAGAATTTTTTTAAACATAACGTTATACAGTAAAACATTTTACGTTAAATTGAACACATTTTACATGTCCCTGTTTATCCACTGTAATTTTTATATTAATTTAACAGAAGGCAAATATATGAATAAATAACACAAGTAATATGTGAAAAATTAAGACAAAATTGTAACACACGCTATTTGGAGAAGTTTATAATTAACATATTTATAATGTTAAATTTAATTAAAATAAAATTTTATTGTTTCTTCTCTTTTTCTTACAGAAAATAGAAGACGATATCTCTTTATAATATATAACGTAAAACATGTCGCTTTATCAGATGAAAATTCTTATAGAGAAATAAGTAATATAACTTAGGTGGTCATTTTAACATATGAAATGTTAGCAAAAATTTGTGCATATAAATTGTGTTATTTTAACTCTTAGAAACAGTGAATATTAATATTAATATTAATATTAATATTAACACCAAGTGAAATTTTACAAGATGAGCAGACTGCGTAATATAATCTTTTTTCTTTTATGTAAATAATTTCAAGAACTTTTTCTATTCATTGTGGACTATGTTTAAACATAACACTGAAATAGAGTAATTACTTCTTATTATTAGTATCAAGATCAAGAGAATACAATTTTAAAACAGAAACTTTTATATTTTGCTAAACTTTATAAATAAAATTTGATAAATATTAGATAAAAACGAAGCTGATGTTTTCATTGCAAGCTGCTTTCAAAATAATTTCTGTTTGATGCTTACCGAGGTTCTTCCCCATCCGGATAAAGTGCAGCTGGTACCCTCGGGAGCAATGTCGCTAGTTGCAAGCGGTATGGGCTGTATATATTGGGTATATTCGATAGGAGTTGTCAGAATAAGTACGCCGATGTCATTGGACGATCCCATAAAATTATAATTACTGTGAGGGATGGCTTGTTTAACTCTGTACACGGAACCACTCTCGTTTAACAGATTTGTGCCAGCGTGAACAGTTAAATTTTTCAGAGCGCCAGGGGTCCAGAATCTGTTAAAGAGACAAATTTTGGTCGATTACTTTTTGCTTTTCACCTTTATAGATAGTTTTAAACATCTTTCTTTTATGAAATAAAAAGACTTTCATTCTATTCATGTGTGCATGTATAAGGCTGCAGTCCACTTGACGCTACAAATGCTTCGAAGCATTCCTCTTCTCTTTTCTTTCAATGAAGAAAGAAGGAGAAGAAGAACGCTCCAAAACATTTGTAGTATCAAGTGGACCATAGCCTAAATAATATAAAACAATAGAATAAGGAACATACCTTGCTATACAATGAGCAGCGGTGAGAATAGTATACTTATTGATGATGGATCCGCCGCAGAAATGCCTTCCGTTCTTTCTCAGAGATATTTGATATGGGAACTTGCCGGGCGGGGCATCGCTTCCACCAACAATATGAATGTCTGGATAGCCTATATAAGAAGGTGCAGTAAAACAGAATGTACAAATCAAATGTTAGACACAATTAGTTCAATTAGTTTTTTTGGCCTTTAATGACATAATTAATTACGGTTATTATAATAGTCTATTCTATTTATAAATTGTTACTATTAATAAATATATACTATGCGATACTACATTTTTGTTAGAGTTGTGTAGAGAAATGTGTACACATCACAATTGTGTACAATATATTTTTATATTAAATTATTATTATAAAAAATGTGATTTTATTAAAAATATTATTTAATGATTATTATCTTAAAATAATCCACTTCTATGCTATTCTACGTATTTCTATTCCTTTTGACACATACAAAATTAAAACATAATTAATTATTTTATTAAAGAATTATTAATAAAAAATTAATTAGAAAATAATAATATAAATTTTCTATAAAGTAGCGTATACATTTTGCGGTTTTAATTTTGTCATTAAATATTCAAACTGTAGCTTTGTTATTTTAATTCGTAGTTCGTAAAAATTAAATAAAACCATAATCAAAATGTATCATATTTATTCTCGCTTACCATAAGCGGCTACCCCTAAGCAGGCGACTATCAAGACAAAGAACGCGTGCATATTGAAAGCGTGGCACTGATAATAATGAAACTCCATCGCACGTTTATATAGGCTGTTTTGAGTACTTCACCAGAAGAACGTACTTTGGAATGTATATGTGTATGACATAAAAATGAAATCTATTTAATCTGACAGATTTAATCATTAAATTCCATCGAAATAATTTCGATAACTTATGCTAAGCAATTAAACGTGAGGTCAAACTATGTGTCTACGAACATCTCTATCGTCTAGTAAAAAATTTATTTCGAAATCTTTATCTGAAATACGTGATGCAATCGATATAATGATTTCAAAATTACTGTACACTTCATCGAGCTATTTTAGAAGCAGAAATTAAAATTTATTGATAATGTATGGAATTCGTGTATCTATTGCGCTACAATTTCACGATAATTGATGAAATTATTAGAAAATTACTTATTAAAGCTAGCAAATAAGTTGTGAGTTATAAATGATTGGTAAACTGTGTTAAAATTGAAAATAAATATGTATAATTACATATAAAATATAATATATATATTTAATCTTTTGAAGACAAACAGGAGGGTTTTTTTTATAACTTTTAAACATTTTTACTTATAACTTTTATGTTTGAAATTTAGAGCTAAAAAATGCAAACAAATTCATAAGGATTTTGTAAGAAAAAGATTTTTATTTACGATGTTTATGGATACATTTATATAGTAATGTTGTTTTGTTCGATTTATTTCGAAGTAAGGTACAACACAGAGGCATATCGCACTCACGACACACTTTGGTCTTCGACGAATACCTTTTTTTGAACATACTACGCATTGGCCATTCTCATTTGTTTTTCTTAGATTCCCGGAATTACGGAACACAGCGACTCAAAAAACCCTTATATATGATATTTTAGCGCATAAATAGTTTGAAACCTATAAATAGGCTTCCCGTTCTTTAAAAATTAATATATTATTTCACTTTTTAATAATTAATTACTTTAATATGTTTTTTGATAACATATTCAAAATTTAGATTGCATTCCATTGATACATATGTTTTTCTTACACATTGTAATGTCAAGCATTATTTATG